AGTGGAACTTAGCTCAGTTGATAGTGTATTTAACAAGATTTACATCCTAAAATCCGTATATTATTTTCCAACGGTCTTTTTTAAAGTCATTGGAAATTACAGGCTTTTAAGAAAACGGCCAAATCCCTAGTGCTTAACATCGAGCTTTTTATTAAACATTATTATTAATCTATTGGCCAATAGCATAATGGCATATGAGTCCACAGCAGCCCAGATGGATCTTATTAGCAGCTCACAGATTTAAAGGCACGAACTATAACGAATCTTTGTTTGAAGTTCATTGTTGGTGATGATGAGTTAATGTTGTTTAAAGGTTTATTGCGGTTATTCATCACAATGGTAAAAAAACAATATACAACGATATAACGACTCAGCTATCTCGACAGTAAAAAAACTTAGAATCAAAGAAATTTTAATTGATTAGTATTAGAATATGGGGTGTTATTGTGGTGGAAATAACAATTCTGAAAGATGACATTTAATATCGTATTATTTGCAAAATATATAAAATGAAATAAAAAAAAGCCCCTTGCATTAAGATTAGCTTCATAATTTCCACTTTTGCTCTACTTATTATAACTAAAAAGTTTCTGTATGTCAAAATAAAGAATTTTATATAGCAAAGTATTACAATGGAGGGCTTATAACCCCATACAACTATCTATTGGTTACAGACTTAACTGGATTTTATAATTCATAAATATACACACCTGACTGAATTTTTATAAATAAAATTATTACCACACTTGACCACTGGTATTTTATTTAAAAGTGTTATAGTTTTACATACAAAAAGAACGAGTGTGAGAAGCTATATTAAAATTAATATAACCACCAAAGAAGCAAGAGGCTTAATCGATAAAAATCAGATAGACTGGTTAAAAATCGTATGTCTCATCAAGATGAGATTTACTTTTAGGAGTGTGTGAATCTGAATATAAAGTACATTAAACCAAGCATCGTTAGTAACGACGACTTTCAACGCGTAATAACAACATATGTAACAGATTTTCGCACGCGACGAACTGATTGACCGACTTTTCTACAATTACTCAAGTCAGAAACAGCCAATTTAGATCATACTATACAATAAAGCTTTATATGGGCAATTTACTTTATAAAACACCAGTAATACCGAATATATAAGTGACCAGTGACCTAATATATAAGATTTATATTTCTCCTGCCATTTCAATCATTTATTTGATTCAGTACTTTAAGTTAAATGAGAGATTATTTTTAAAGTTTCATCTTCAATAAAAGATTCAAAAATTTTATTATTACTTTTGACAATATTATAATCTTAAATATATATTATCTGCGATGACCAACGAATCAATGTACAAAAAAGAAAAATAAATTTTAAAACATCTCTACAATGTATAAAACCGTGTACAATATATATTTTATATGTTAATAATATAATGTTGTACCGTTATAACAAGATTAATTATTTTATATCCCCCTAAATATAATGCTTCAGTACAGTTCTACATTTCTATATAAATTGTAGATTTGTTGTTAATACTTATGTTAATGTGAATGTAAACGTATTTAAAAATTGTTTGGAGAATGTAGGACCTTTTTGGTACATTATTTATATTTTGTGTACAGTTGAATCTGTGCATAGAAAAAAAGTTTTGTTTTGTTAAATTATAATTTCATGTTTGCTTATAGTGATTCCTTCTTGAGAGACTGTAAGATTAATATATGTCATAATTTTCGTGAATAAAAATAATTGATGTTTAGTTTTGTGTTACAAAATAAAAATCACTTAGACTTAATTATTAGCGACTTATTATAGGTGTCGATGACCTCTAGTAATAAAGTTCAAACATGTTTTGGAAACTAGAGTCAGTACGAGAATTCTTGTATACTTTCCCTGAAGTATCTAATTTTAGAATCTAATAATGTTAAATTTCGTTATCCAAAAAAATAATAATACATTATTATCTTATATATTAAAAAAAGGTTTGCGGCTCATCCAATGTTTGGAACTCTGATATACACCTTGAAGGCCAGTAATGGCTTCCAGTATTCCCCCAATGGTCACACCATGTAACAACGTAGAGCTAATGATATGAAGATATGATAAAAAAGGAAGCATGTTAACCCAATAAAAAAGAATAAGGAGTCATCCCCCCACTAACCCCCCCCCCCACACTAGAATAAGGAGTCAGTTGCGTTTATTAGAGATCTTTATCGATTTGACAATTTTATTTCACAAAAGAAAAATTGAGTTATAAAATGTAGTGGCTCTGTTAAATTTATAGGAATTGAGACTCGTACAATTCAAGAGTAAAGTTCTGCAAATGTCTTACATTAACGTTTTAATTAAAATCAATCCAGCTCAGTTTCATTTGACGATCTTCGTTAGCTCGATTTAACTAACTAGGATTTAGTAAATGTTCTCTTCATTTTATCTTTGTAACAGCAATGGATTATGTAACTGGGACGATGTTTCATGGTAATTTATAACAGTTGGGATGGTTTTAGTGTTATTCTTTAAGCTTAGTTCGATTTGTTTAACAGGTGGCTGGACATGATATGATAAGCAAATTAATGCATGTTTACTAATAATTCAAAACGTTAAATCTTTGAACATTTAGGAGTGGCATTTAATTTCTTTGATAAACAATATTTCTGTAAAATTTTGGTAAAAACCTCTCATCTATAAACTACCACACTTCTACAAATATATTTTCCATCGAAGATTTAGTAAAAGTTCAAACCATATAAGATATTCTAACTTAAATCAGTAAAGATGTATCAAACGTCCCGACAGATCTCTAATATAGCACAAATGTAACCGCTTTGCAAATGTTAACCTATTTCTTCTACCAGAAACAACCGATTAAATAAATAACTCAAAATAGATTTAAAAAATAAAACAATCAAGGATTCTTGTTCATTTGATTTAAAGCGAAATAGTTTATTTACCACACCGTGTGTAAAAAAATAAAAAAATATGTAATTTTTTGATAAAAAAATACGTATTTACACGTGATTGAGGAATGCAATAGGTACTTTGTAACAAAAAATTGTCGTACCTTTTGTAAAACTAAGATTAAAACATAACAACAAAAGTATTTAAGCATGAGTGGAGTAAGATAATATAAAAAGTTGTCAAGTATGTGATAATGTTAAGTATCTAAATTTGTTTTATGGTTCCTATTGAATGAAAAAAACCTGCAGGAAATCAAATTGTATGCTCATTTCACTACCCTACTTGCAAATAGTGTTCATGAATAATGGATTGTGGTCTAGCAATGAAGGAGGAAATTAGTTCCCCGAAGTTCGCAACAGCTGTCTTAGGCACGCACAGTGAGTTATGTGTGTGGAAACATAGTTGGTACTACTGTGGTGTCGCCAACTATACAAACATAAATTCACCTTTCACACTAGCAAACTAATAATCTACAATTTCTAAGATGTCAAGTACTTATGGGTTGACGAAATAATGTTGGCCTCCTTAAAATAGTTGCAGTGATCAAAATTTTAACAATGAACAATGTTTACGAGTATTCGACGACTTTTACTGTCATACCTATATAAAGATTACGATAAATTAACGTAGGTCAGTAAATAATCAAAGGATCGAGAAATAATCAATACAGATTGAAATAGCCACAATTGAATTGAATTGAAGAAGTGTTTTTTATACGATTTGGTCGATAGAGTTTCGGGAAGTTTTAAGAATTTCATAATAAGGCCTTACAGATACTAACAATTTATGCCAAATTTATGCAACATGAAGCCAATTAAAAAAGGAACTAACTATGAAAGAGAATTATTTTGAATGTTATAGATACTGTGTAATAAGAAATACACCAGGCATTTTTTATAATTTTGTCGTACCCACAGATTTAACAACAGCTTGGACGAGTAAAGGTTTATGGTCGATGTTTCAGTCGTTTGTGATGGGATTTGAAGCTTGGTAAAACCTTTCTAACGTTCATTGAAGCCCAAGTTTATCCATAACTTGAGTTCATTTGATGTTCTGGCAGGATGGAAAGTTTACAGAACAGCATTTGAAACTTTTCTTCATTTGATTTGAGACCCATAACGTTGTACAAAACAGATTTTACTTATTGTATTTTCGGTTTGCAATCTTTATCAAACGCAAGCATAATATTTCGTGGGTGATTATATTTTACAGGATTTGAATTCTCCTTGTCTAACGAAGGAAAAATTTAACTTTTTACAAATGTTCTGCAATGAACCTCTCAGTTAATATTTGATAGTAGGCAATAACGTCAATCAACCAAAATAGGACGACCTGTTGTATAGTTTAACCGAGCAAAATCTGCAAAGCCCCTGCTCACTAGCTATCTTTCTGTTGCAGCGTGGATGGTTAAGATTGTGGACTCAAGGGTTGCTTGCACAACGCTAATATTTAGAACAGTTTTCATAAAACTATTTGGCAGACATTAACACTGCTTTAACCCTTCTTTTTGAACTGAAGTGGAAAATATGTAAAAGGCATGGTTAGAACAATTAGATTATACAGTGTATAGACTACTGAGCTGCACAATTGAGTAATATTACAGGGAAACCAAGGTGACTGATACTGGAGGGGTGATATGATACTGAGGTCCAGGAGAAGTATTTGGCGCAACTATGCAAGCCACTACCAGCGTTTGTTTTGATAAGGCCGATATAATCTGATCCAACATCCGACAAAACTAATCAATCAAACAGAACTTGTTTGGTTAAAAAAAATGAAAATTTCTAAAACATTAACTTTTGGTGTAGAAAAACTGTATAAACGTAAAGTTGTTGGATGCCCAAATTAAATCTTACTCAAACTTCATTGAAGGTTTTGAAAAAAAAATACGTTTACTTATAGAATACATACACACCATACTTTTTTGGCAATGGCAATTACTCATTACGCCCTACTTTTGTGTCAATGTGTATATAAAGCTTTCCCATCGCGTTTTTTAATATCAATACATACTTTTATTGTTTACGATTATCATTGCATTTTTCTGTTGCAGATAAAAGGGCGTTTAAAATTCGTCATTGCTGGTGAGTAATTGAGTATCTTAATAAGTAAGTTTTTTATGGAATCAGGAAGTCTTAAGTTTTTGATATTTTTATTGGTAAATACTAGCAAATTCAATTGGTATTACTTTCTTCAAAGGAAAAAACCCAATAGCAATATAATACTTAACCTAATAAAACCTTTTATCTAAATTAAGATTGTTAAAGAGACCAAAGTTTGATAGTTCTGAGCACTGTTGAGCTTCCTAGATGTAAGAAGACATGAGAAGGTTTTAGTGCACTTCCGACATCTTGTATTTCCTGCTTTTTCGTCTTAAGTTTGTGGTCAAGTTAACTTCCTGTTTGAAGTGGTACGATACAATTTTGTTAAGTTTAGATAAAAAAAATCTAATGTTATTTGGCTTACGAGTTAATCTACAGTTCAATAAGTAGTTGCCTTATGTTTCTCGTATTACTTCATTTAAAACAATTATTCATTGCAACAGTATGCTATGTAGTAATATAATTTAATAAGTAGTAATTATATCTGTTTTCAATAATTGAGAAATGGAAAGCAGTATTTCCTTTTGGAATGTATAAGTGCCTTAGTTAAAAAAACTTTTGGACTTTAAGACAAAGCTATAGATTCTTAGGGTTAAGTATAGTAAAATAAATAAATATATGGACATTTTAAAGAAGTATTACACCACCGAGTTCAATTATTTAAAATAATCACGTAGATTTCATTATCCAGCTGACTCTAAAGTAGTAGTTCGTTGTTATGAGTAGTAATTATTAACAGAAGACGAGATGTGACCGTTGTCAATAAAGTTGTGGGATAAAAATGCATAGTTATATTTCATATTATATAGAAAAAATCAAATCTAAGATGTTTTGAAAGACAGAGTATTATAATCCTTAAGTATAATATCAAGTATATTACAACACAAAGCTCAAGTGACTCTACTATCAGAGGAAGCTTGCGTTTGTAATGTTGTGTCACAGCAATAATACCAAGAACTATGTTAGCCACTTGCATAGTTCATGGGTGTCTGGCACTGTCACCAGATGGTGCAAACTTCACAAAGCTAATTTGCCTTTGTTATCTCAAAGTGTCTGGCCAATTCTAGGTATCCAGTACACAAAGTGATCTATAGCATACAGTTCTTTTTCCCATCACTTTTCTTATTTTCAGAGTGAATTTGTTACCGTTTCTTCTTAGGTAAACACAGACCCCCCTTTCTAAGATGTCGGGGGCCTTTTTATTTACAGTGTGCAGAGGAGGTTAGGTTACGAATCTAGTTCAGTTTAGTTTATGGTAATCTCAAAAACATGGTAGTGTTTACAAGGTTGCAGTTTTCTGAAATCATAAAAAATGAAACACGAAACCGTAGACCAAAGATTTGCCTCTCGATTCCATTAGGGTGCTTCCCCTAAATACTCTAAAATTCACACATATCTTATTCTATCAAATTTTACAGCCTTAATATTGTGAATAAAAACGTACTATACAGTATAGTTTGTAGGAAGGAATACAATATTAGATAATAGATACCTCTTTAATGTACATTATGTGAATGTTGCTACATCACTTACTACTTAGATGGGACCACAGGTGAAATCAAATCAACTATAATAATATCTTTAATTTTTTCTTATTAATAAAAAGTATTAATATGTCTTTTGCTAGACTTTGTTTCTGTATCAATATCCTGAGCTCAGCTTTTTATTTCTGAAACAATATCCGAGCCCAAGAGCAGCAGAGCGTCTTTAGTTCACCTTTTACGAGTCCATTACTCAAATGCAAGAGTTCCATGAGAAGAGCAACCTTTTACAAGGAGTGGTTTTATTTTACTCTTCCCACTTTACAAAGCTTTTACACTAGGTTTCAATTACTCTCAAGGTTATATGAAGTTGACTGTGATAAATATTCCAAAACCTCTTAAATGATTTAAAATATATCATGGTGGAATGGCCTCTGGATCGTCTGAATCAACTATATAGTGGTTTAAATTACCTTGTTACTGTCAAAACGATCCTTTGTAGTTAGTAAGACTACAGCTGTTTCATGCTTCGAATGAAGCACATCATCAGGTCAGAAGAATGTCAAGTAGTCTTCATATTCCTCGCAGTGGAGTTCGTCAAAAGTTTAATAATAAATAGAGAACAAAACACATAACACACGGAAACACGAAACATTTAGTATTGGTCGACCAAACGACGTACAACAACAACGTGGTAACAACACACGTGATACGGCGCCGGTTGAGGGTAAGTCGCGACTTACCGACTTAATATATGTATAAAATAATACAAGATGTGTTATCACAAGCTAAACAACCAGAAACACATATATATCCAGGGACAAAAGATTTAACTGCAAAACTTCGTTCCAGACCTGATGCTTAAACGATTAGTAAAATAACTGTATCTTGCCACTGAGCTGCTCTTTTAGTTGAATCGTCTGTTTATGATAAAGGGATATATAAAATTTTAGAGAAATTAGTAGTACAACATACTATTATTTTAGTGAAATATTTTCATTCTTTTCTAGATTCTACGCCCTTAATACTTTGGTATTAATATTTTGGTTGTTAAAAAACACAATAACATTCCCAAGTCCATTGTTAAGTTACGTGAAATCTTTGATTATTATGAAATCCCTTGAAAGTTTGTCACTGATCAATGAGGGCAAGTTAGTTCTGTCAAGTTGGCAAAACAAACACTGCGGTTTGTGTACATATCTGAGACACTTGCAACCATTGTGGCTCTGATGCCAACATTGCAAACACAAATCTCCCACTTGCAAAGATAGTTTAAAAAGAAACAATACACGTTTAGCAATATATTTTGCGTGAGCACATTAATCAATTTAATACACCATAAAGATACGAAATATATTCTAGCGTGGGCCATGTGCACGAGACTGGTCTTATGGACCTTTTTTATGATCATGCACAAAAATATGCAACGGTGAAATAAATATTGTAATTAAAATTTAATAAGAAAATACAATTTAGAACTTCACCTTCTTAAGGATACAGTATTTTTACTCGTTTATTTTGAATTTGAAACAAGAGATAACAAATTAAGTGATGGTCTAAATTAGGTAGTTCTAACTTTTTACTTTCTCCCCCTATAGTAAGTACAGTTTTACTTTTGCCAGGTAAGTCCGTTTTAAATATATAGGATAAAAATACCCCCGCCGCAGCAAACCTGCCGACTAAGCGAATTTCCATTTGTCTGAATTGATTTTCAGTTAAATATATTTTAATAACATTAGGTTTAACGAGTACCTAGGTTTGCTGCTACAAGGAAACTAATAAAGTGTGTTTTTGAGTAAAATATTGATAGCTTAGTACAAAATAAATAAATTTGCCAAGTTTGATCAAAATATATCCACAAACAAGCAAACTACAACATTTGACAATATTTTCCATAAGAATAACATGGGAATTTTAAATTTACTATTTTTTTAATTTTCTCCGTTACTAATAATCGAACAAAAATACTTTTATATACTAAATTATTTGTTTTTTTAAGCTCTTTAATAAGGTCTAAAGAGAAATCGGGAAATTTTGTGTTTTGAGGGTCAAAAGTGAGAAAAACCAATTTTTACCCCATAAAACCCCCCGTAAAGTCCCGTTCCCATGGTCCGATCGTGCTGGTTCGCGAACTCATTCAAGTTTATCCCGCTTTACACCTTTAAACCAAATTTCATCAAAATCGGACAAAAATTACTCAAGTTATCGCGTTCACGGACGTATATATATATATGTCTATATATATATATACATATATAAAAATTTGAACGAATGGTGTTTTTGGCCTCTGGGGACATCAAAATGAAAAAGTAAATCAGTCCCGGGTCTAGGTCTTACCGTGCCACCTACGGCAATAGCTACTTACTTCCCTATAGGGAAATTCGCTAATAATACTCAATAATAAATTAATGATACGGATACAGCTACTTAACTACCTATACTTAACTACTTTTACTACTATATACTATATACTTACCACTATATACTACTATATACTTACTGCTACTTACTGATTACTGATACTTACTGATAACAACTCTGATACTTGTTGAAGCAACAGAAAATGAGAGGAAACGTAACTCTTTAAAAAAATCTTCCCAATGTAATGTTCATAATGGTATACTAACGTGGTTGTAATGCCATTAAAAGATCTGCCGGGAAGTTGACCAAACAGCTAACTAGACTAGACTAATTTCTAAGATTGTTGTTACAAAGCTGTGATTAAGGATAAGAAACCAGACTGTTACAGAAGTTTTGCCGTTATCTTGACCTGAATCGTCTTCAATAATGTTCCTTTTACATCTTTCTATGTCTTTTTGATACAAAGTTATGTTACAATCCGGTATGGGTCACCCAAATGATAAACTATTGTATTTGTTAACTATATATTATTGTTATTATTATTTTGTCCTAGGACGCTAGGCACGAGCCTGGGATTGTTTTTCACATTAATTCAGGCTAGACATAGGGGTTGCAGCATTATCACTTAGATAAAATCTATTGGTGACTTGGCGGGGATCGAACCCGGGACCTCAGGAACTAAAATCCCGCACTCTAACCACTACACCAGCTCGCTCCCCATCTATATTAATAGGCAAGCATGTTTCTTTGAAACATGTTTCCCAGCTCGTGTACATCGCAGGGAAAATCTATGCATATTGTTAGAAAAATATTTTACTGTTAGATGTGCAGAATCCCTTTATAAATTAAAATATGCTCAAAAATAAGCACAACAAATGGATTTAAAATTTTAAAAATTTAACATGGCCCTTATGGGTTGCCATCCTGGTGACGAAATAACAACGACATATAAACAGAAAATCAAAACTAATGGAAGAAATTCCAATCACATGTTTTATTTACAGTGTGGGGTGGAAATAGAGAAGTTTTATTTTTGGTAGAGTTTTCGACCATTGGACGACCTCTATTTTGTATTGAGTAACAACTTTTAAAAAACTCAATTTTTGTTATCTTTATTTTTTTGTTGAATTCATAAATGATAAAGTAAATGTATGATTATTAACTTTGTTTTATGTAATCTTGCAATAACCCTCCAGCTAATTCCAATGCACTATCTAAGTTTACAGTATGCATTTCTATAAAAAGTTAAACATTACATTTATTTATGTTAAGGGTTAGTTTCAATTTATCAAGGAAGGGCAAAAAGAAATAAATATTTGTTATGGTATGAGTATCGTCAAAGATTCGATTCAATTGCAAATGCAGCCTGAACACATAACCTGTGGGGAAACGGGTTTAGTATAAAATTAGTTTAAGATTAACAGAACTCCTCAGGGAATAATAGTTTGGTAGATGATAATGATGTTATTCTCTGAGGTGTGTGAAAACCCTCATATTCCCATGATTGCATCTTATATGTTTCATGGTAACCAAGAACTAATAATATTGCTCTAGAGAATCAAGTATAGCAGATTGAAAATGAATTACAATAGATTGACTCACTTAGCAGATACAGAAAAATAAATTAATTTTATTGAAATGTAAAAACACATTACTGTGTATAATTAATGTATGAAAACAATCCACGAAAACAAAATAGCATACTTTAGTTTGAGAATCAGCAATCGCTTAGGTAGGTCAACGGTTTATTTGAAATTTATTGATAACTGAATTAAATTTGATTTGACTGTCATTTGTTTCAAAGCCAAAATAAATTGAGAAAAGCTTTTGGTGCTGAGGAATGCTTGATCATAAAAGTAATTTTACCTGATTGTTATGTATTTTCATTATATTGTAGAAGCCTATAAATGTAATGTTACCCATACACTGTTATCCACATGAATAGATATACTAAAGACAGTTTCATAACGAAAGAGGATCAACCCCTACTGTAGAGCTTAACTTGACACCTGGAGTGTTTGGAATTATAAATTATGAGTCCATGAAACATTCCTAAATTCCACTGTAGTAGTCTGTTATTACCTCAAGATAAGGTTACTAATAGTTTTATATACAGCCTAATTTGTAGTCATATGGAACAGAAAAGTCAATAAATTGTAATACAAATCATTCTTACACCTTTGTAACAATGAACTTGTTTGGGACTTATAGCAAAGGGGGAAGTAAGCTCAAGACAATAATTGAGACAAAGATGGAACTAATTTGTGTCATTGTTAGAAAGTTGTGATTGTAGCTGAGAAACGTGACATTGAAGTAGAAGTTTAGACTTTATTGTACCGAGACTAATCATTGAACAATATTTAACTTTTGTAAATAATAATCTTATGATTCTGGAAAACAATGATTAAATCTTACTTATATTATAAATGTGAAAGTTTGTGTGCTTGTTAGTAAATAATAATAAATTTGAAGAAATCGATAAACACGATTTTGGTTAGTTATCACCCATGTATAGGTTATAGGCATTCTTGTCGTTTAAAAAATGCTTTTCTTATAGGCAGAAAACAACTTTTGAGGGTTCAATTAAGTTTAAAATATAGACTTCAATATGTTTATTCCATTATGTACCGACACTAATTATTGTCATTGTTCTTTTTGATAAATATAGATCAAGTTTAATAAGTGTCTTTTAAGTCTTGTCTTTGATATTTTTAACACTAATGATTGTGCATTGTGTCATTTGCTTTGGTGAAATTAAATGTTTTAATTCTGTGATATAATATCCAAATTTGGTAAACTTCTTAAAACGTTATTTATACAAAAAATTATCATTACTTGTTTTGTTTGTTATCACACAACTATTTACGTCCCTTTGTAGTTAAACGGAAATTGTTATTCCTACAATAAGCTAATACAACAGAAAACCAACAACTTTAAAATGTGAAGTTCTAGAAAACATTCCAATTTGTTAAACATAGATATGCATGAGAAGCCATGTACAACTTAGATCAATGTCTTATGTAAAATTGTTTTGCATGTCTTATGTAAAAATGTATAATTACATTGATACGTAGCAGTTACATATTCTAGTAGGAGAACCCTGGCATGTTAACTAATTTATCCCTTTGCTAACCGTAGTACATGGGCCCTTAGGAATTATTTACAAGCACTAAACCCTTAGATACGGCTGATGTCTAATATATCCTTGACAAAATAAGGCAAACACACCTTGTTGATGAATATTGAAAAAATACACAATTTGTGTAGAATGTGTACTTCAATTCGGAGTAAAGGTTTATGGTCGATGTTTCAGTCGTTTGTGATGGGATTTGAAGCTTGGTAAAACCTTTCTAACGTTCATTGAAGCACAAGTTTATCCATAACTTGAGTTCATTTGATGTTCTGGCAGGATGGAAAGTTTACAGAAACGCATTTGAAACTTTTCTTCATTTGATTTGAGACCCACAACGTTGTACAAAACAGGTTTTACTTATTGTATTTTCGGTTTGGAATCTTTATCAAACGCAAGCATAATATTTCGTGGGTATTTTACAAGATTTGAATCCTCCTTGTCTAACGAAGGAAAGATTTACCTTTTGTACAAATGTGCTGTAGTGAACCTTTCTGATATCTGATAATAGGCAATAACATCAATCAACCAAAATAGGACGATCTGTTGTATAGTTTAACCGAGAAAAATCTGAAAACCCCCTGCTCACTAGCTATCTTTCTGTTGCAACGTGTATGGGCAAGATTGTGGACTATAGGGTTGCTTGCACAACGCTAATATTTTGAACAGTTTTCATAAAAGTATTTGGCAGACATTAACACTGCTTTAACCCTTCTTTTTGAACTGAAGTGGCAAATATGTAAAAGGCATGGTTAGAACAATTAGATAATACAGTGTATAGACTACTGAGCTGCACAATAGAGTAATATTGCAGGGAACCCAAGGTGACTGATACTGGAGGGGTGAGATGATACTGAGGTCCAGGAGAGGTATTTGGCGCAACTATGTAAGCCACTAGGTGCGTTTGTTTTGATAAGGCCGATATAAGATGATCCAACATCCGACAAAACAAATCAATCAAACAGAACTTGTTTGGTAAAAAAATGAAAATTTCTAAAACATTGACTTTTGGTGAAGAAAAACTTTATAAACGTAAAGTTGATGGATGCCTATATTAAAACTTACCTAAACACAGTTATATTTCTTACTCAAACTTCATTAAAGGTTCTGAAAACAAGATTAAGACGTTTACTTATAGAATACATACGCACCATACTTTTTTGACAATGCCAATTACACCCCTTACCTTACTTTACCTTACTTTTGTGTCAACGTGCATATAAAGCTTTCTCATCCCGTTTTTAAATACCAATACATACTTTTATTGTTTATGATTATAATTGCGTTTTCTGTTACAGATAGTTGTGCGTGTATAATTCTCCATTGCTGGTGAGTAGCTGAGTATCTTAATAAGTAAGTCTTTTATGAAATCAGAAAGTCTTAAGTTTTTTATATTTATACGGGTAAATACGAGCAGTATTAATGAATATATCTTTAACTAATCAAAATTGGAATATGCATAGCAAATTTCCAACCCATTATGCTGCGTTGTATCTTTTAAATTGATCTTAAAGTCAATTGCTTTAATTTTGGAATTTTTGACATAGCTTAAACACCCCAAAACAAAAATTCATCACAAATATTTTTGTTTACAATGATTTGTCTTTAGAAATTCCATACATCCAAAACCTTCCAAAAAGTGTAAATTTATAACTAGACTAAAATAGCGTTGCCTAACCCTAGACCAGACAAGTAAAAATCCCAGTAACAAATTAAATGATCTAAGATACTGAAAAATGCATAGAAAAAATTGTGACCCAGTTAACTAGGAAACATGTACTAAACCTCAATTCATTAACTGGAATATCGAATCCCTTTTGTATTACTGTCTTAAAAAAAGCAATAACGATGTAATACTTAACCTAATAAAACCTTTTATCTAAATTAAGATTGTTAAAGAGACCAAAGTTTGATAGTTCTGAGCACTGTTGAGCTTCCTAGTTGTAAGAAGACATGAGAAGGTTTTAGTGCACTTCCGACATCTTGTATTTCCTGCTTTTTCGTCTTAAGTTTGTGGTCAAGTTAACTTCCTGTTTGAAGTGGTACGATACAACTTTGTTAAGTTTAGATAAAAAAAATCAAATGTAATTTGGCTTACGAGTTAATGTACAGTTCAATACAAAAAAAGTAGTTGCCTTATGTTTCTCGCATTACTTCATTTAAAATAATTATTCATTGCAACAGTATGCTATGTAGTAATATAATTTAATAAGGTAATTATATCTGTTTTCAATAATTCAGAAATGGAAAGCAGTATTTCCTTTTGGAATGTATAAGTGCCTTAGTTAAAAAAGTTTTGGACTTTAAGACAAAGCTATAGATTCTTAGGTTTAAGTATAGTAAAATAAATAAATATATGAACATTTTAAAGAAGTATTACACCTCCGAGTTCAATTATTTAAAATAATCACGTAGATTTCAGTATCCAGCTGACTCTAAAGTAGTAGTTCGTTGTTATGAGTAGTAATTATTAACAGAAGACGAGATGTGACTATTGTCAATAAAGTTGTGGGATCAACATTCATATTGTAAAATCTAAGATATTTTGAAAAACAGAGTTTTATAATCCTTTAGTATAATATCAAGTATATTACAACACAAGCTCAAGTGACTCTACTATCAGAGGAAGCTTGCGTTTGCAATGTTGTGTCACAGCAATAATACCAAGAACTATGTTAGCCACTTGCATAGTTCATGGGTGTCTGGCACTGTCACCAGATGGTGTAAACTTCACAAAACTAATTTGCCTTTGTTATCTCAAAGTGTCTGGCCAATTCTAGGTATCCAGTACACAAAGTGATCTATAGCATACGGTTCTTGTTCCCATCACTTTTCTTATTTTCAAAGTGAATTTGTTACCGTTTCTTCTTAGGTAAACACAGACCCCCCCCCCTTTCTAAGATGTCGGAGGCCTTGTTATTTACAGTGTGCAGAGGAGGTTAGGTTAGGAATCTAGTTCAGTTTAGTTTATGGTAATCACAAAACATGTTAGTGTTTACAAGGTTGCAGTTTTCTGAAAACATAAACAATGAAACACAAAACCTTAGACCAAAGATTTGCCTCTCGATTCCATTAGGGTGCTTCCCTAAATACTCTAAAATTCACACAGATCTTATTCTATCAAATTTTACAGCCTTAAAATTAGTAATTAAAACTATCATACAGTACAGTTTTTAGGAAGGAATACAATATTAGATAAGGTATTACCTCTTTACTGTACATTATGTGAATGTGGCTACATTACTTACTACTTAGATTGGACCACAGGTGTAATCAAATCATCTATGGTGATATCTTTAGTGTTTTATGATTAGTAAAGGGTATTAATATGTCTTTTGCTAGACTTTGTTTCTGTATCAATGTTCTGAGCTCAGCTTTTTATTTCTGAAACAATATCCGAGCCCAAGAGCAGCAGAGCGTCTTTAGTTCACCTTTTACGAGTCCATTACTCAAATGCAAGAGTTCCATGAGAAGAGCAACCTTTTACAAGGAGTGGTTTTATTTTACTCTTCCCACTTTACAAAGCTTTTACACTTGGTTTCAATTACTCTCAAGGTTATATGAAGTTCACTGTGATAAATATTCCAAAAACCTCAAAAATTATTTAAAATACATGTATAAAATAATACAAGATGTGTTATCACAAGCTAGACAACCAGAAACACATATCCAGGGACAAAAGATTTAACTGCAAAACTTCGTTCCAGAACTGATGCTCGAACGATTAGTAAGATAATTGTATCTTACTAATGCTACTCTTTTATTTGAATCGTCTGTTTATATAAAGGGATATATAACATTTTAGATAAATTAGTAGTACAACATACTATTATTTGAGTGAAATATTTTCATTCTTTTCTAGATTCTACGCCCTTAATACTTTGGTATTTACTTAATGCTGAATTTAATTAATATAAAACAGGAAGTTGTTAAAAAGCACAATAACATTCCCAAGTTCATTGTTAAATTGCGTAAAATCTTTGACGATTGTGAAATCCCTTGAAAGTTTGTCACTGATCAATGAGGGCAAGTTAGTTCTGTCAAGTTGGCAAAACAAACACTGTGGGTTGTGTACATATCTGAGACACTTGCAACCATTGTGGCTCTGATGCCAACATTGCAAACAAATCTCCCACTTGCAAAGATAGTTTAAAAAGAAGCAATACACATTTAGCAATATATTTTGCGTGGGCACATTAATCAATCAGTTTAATTTAATACTCCATAAAAATACGAAATATATTCTAGCATGGGCCATGCACGGGACTGGTCTTATAGACCTTTTTTATGATCATGCACAAAAATATGCAACGGTGAAATAAATATTGTATTAAAATTTAATCAGAAAATACAATTTAGAACTTCGCCTTCTTAAGGATACAGTATTTTTACTTGTTTATTTTGAATTTAAAACAAAAGATAACAAATTAAGTGATGGTCTAAATTAGGTAGTTCTAACTTTTTACTTTCTCCCCCTATAGTAAGTACAGTTTTACTTTTGCCAGGAATGTCCGTTTTAAATATATAGGATAAAAATAATACTCAATAATAAATTAATGATACCTTTACCTTTACCTATACTTACTGCTACTTACTGATTACTGATACTTACTGATAACAACTCTGATACTTGTTGAAGCCACAGAAAATGAGAGGAAACGTATTTCTAAAAAAAATCTTCCCAATGTAATGTTCATAATGGTATACTAACGTGGTTGTAATGCCATTAAAATATCTGCCGGGAAGTTGACCAAACAGCTAACTAGACTAGACTAATTTCTAAGATTGTTGTTACAAAGCTGTGATTAAGGATAAGAAACCAGACTGTTACAGAAGTTTTGCCGTTATCTTGACCTGAATCGTCTTCAATAATGTTCCTTTTACATCTTTCTATGTCTTTTTGATACAATGTTATGTTACAATCCGGTATGGGTCACCCAAATGATAAACTATTGTATTTGTTAACTATATATTATTGTTATTATTATTTTGTCCTAGGACGCTAGGCACGAGCCTGGGATTGTTTTCACATTAATTCAGGCTAGACCTAGGGGTTGCAGCATTATCACTTAGGCCGGTTTCACACGAGCCACAAAACGCCCGACAATCGCGAAACGCTGCTTCTGACTGTTGTGGCGCGAGAATCGCTGGCTGACGCAAAAAAGGATAGCCCCATTCACTTAACATAGGAACGCGGCGTGCCTTTCACACGAAGTGGCGTCTTTTCGCGTTTGGCGCTAGAACGCGCTGCAATCGCATGCAGTGGCTCTGTTCTCGACAATTTTGGCGTTTGTAGCTGGTTATTGCCACTCAGACAGTCAAAACAACCACCCTGTATTGTTTCGAATTTTTATTTCACATTAAGTTATATCTGACTTTGACACAGACCGTTTTATCGTAAAAGTAGGGTGTAAGCCAGTGTTGTGGGTACAAGAATGTAAAGATTACTCAAATAATTACTCTATGACGTCGTACCACGTCAAGCATTATAAAAAATAAATCTTCTTCATCGTCCATTGTAGCACTGAACTGCACTCGTAGTTTTTCCAAGCGGACTGGTGTTTTGGTTTATTTCAGGGAGGTGCGGTATGAAATGGCGATAAACTGATGGAAATCGCGGAATCATGCTTTTGCCGTCTGAAAGGTCCCACGCGATTGAGCGCTGCAAGTGGCGCGTTTCTGCCGACGATTGTGGCATGTTTGTGGCTAAGGCCTGTTTCACACGAGCCACAAAACGAAAGGTAAAAAAGGCGATACACTGATGGAAATCGCGGAATCATGCTTTTGCCATCTGAAATTGAGAATGTAAAAAAAGAATACATTGAGATTTTGATGGCCTATGGGGCAAGCCCGAAGAATTTTATTACAGACATTGGTGAAAGAGGGTGTCTATACAAAGTATGCTTATTTTTAAACATCGTTTGTAAAAATCCGTCCGGAGGAGTAGCGTTTCGTAGAAATCGCCTTCATGAAGTATATATTAGGATTATATTAAAGATGATATTCTTTTTAACCCATAGTTAATTGTAATAAATTATCACAAATAGGAATACAAAAGAGATGTATCAAATATAATATTGATAAGAAACACATTCTAAATCAATACCTTTATTTTATTCTTTTTGCTTGGTAAATGTAAGGACTATCGACATGTGTGACCAACTTAGACGTACACAACTATACTATACATTGTTTTAGTCTTTAACTTTTACAGCACAATAACCTGGTTTAATTTTACTGAGCATATTAAGTAGTATTTCAATAACTTTCCAATTTATCTTTTGGGAATATTTTTGCCCTACTTCGAGTATTCTCTTCTCATATCCCTT